GGCAATATGCTGACTCTCTGTAAACCGCTTAGAGAGGGCTGAAAGCCCTATGAAGCGGTATATAAGTCTACTGCTATTGCTATTGCTATTGTCTTTTATTCTGGATAATTCCTGGTAGAGTGTATTCCTAGGGGTTGGAGAATTCTGGCTGTCATTTCTGACACCCCTTTTGTGTATGGTAAGGTTAGTTTTTATGTGTAGTTGGCTGTGTGGTGTAGTATGGTTTGGGTGCTATGTGTCGAAATACAATTTTTGGGGGATAGCCATTAATGAGAAATCGTCAAGCAGCCATTTATCTTCCTTGATGCCCCAAAACTGTGAAATGAACAAAGAGCTATGACTGCTAGCTGGAATCTAATAAAGAGAAATTTGTACTATGAGATATCAATTCCATCTATATTCTCTAATATCTAATAGTTCTATATATAAATATAGACGTTTAGGCTTTTCTGTCAATCTATTTTATTATCTGGGTTACCCACCGATTAGAAGGTGTTTCCTCTCTCTGAAGAGAGATCTTGCCATTGGGATCTACAAAATCTTCAACCTATAGATCAAATCAAGATGTTAGTACTTTAAAATGTATTTTATTAAACTATTTCAATACTTCTTTTCACTGTATTACTGGTGCATATACATCCACATGCGTATACTGCATATACACAAACATCATAAATATTTTAAACATAGAAACAAGCCTTAAAATGATTTTGGAAAAGGCACTAAAATAATAGGCAGTGTAAGATAAAAGTTTAGCAATAATTAAGCCAGTCTTAGGGTTCTGTTGATCCTCCTCAAGAGCACAATTTCCCTTATTTCTTACTAACCGATTTGAAGCAGAATGGGACAACTTACTGCTGATTTGAAACAGAATGGGACAACTTGGCGCAGGTGGGTTGGTGCAGGCGGGTTGATGTAGATGGGTCAGCATGAACAGATCAGTGCAGATGGCTCAACATTGCTGGGCCAGTACCAATGGATTTGCACTGATGGGTTGGCACTGATGGGTTGCCCCTGTTGTCTGGGTACACAACGAGTGCTCTCCACCCCTGGACATGGGGACAACTCACTGCCCCTGGCATGATGAAGTGGGGAGGGGATAACATCTGCACCAATTTATTACATATAAAAATATCTCACAACTTGCAAGATGTTATGATTTGAACATGAGGGATAAAAACAATATAAATAAGTGACTATGTAAATTATTGCTTTTCTGATCTCAATCTTCAGTCTTGGAATGTAACAGAAAACAGCTGCTCACTTCTATTATTTGGATTTAATGTTTGAATTTTAAATCTACTCGAAAGAGAACAAAGAGTTGCTCACCCCAAGTTTCTGACCAACGCAGCATCCCCAAGCCAAGAAAAACTGGACATGTGTGTTGTGTACATTTGTGTGTGTATGTGATGGTCCTAAAGACCCTCCTGGAGACCATGAAGCAAAAAACTATTTTCACCGAGGCAGCAGCACAGGAATGGCCTACAACCGAACTGCAGGAAGAAGTTGTAATTTGTCGTGCTTTGAGAGGTGCCAAATCAGAATGGATTTGGCATCTACTTCAAAAACACTATGAAAAGTGATACCCTTCGGGAGCTTTGCAGGAAGGGGAATTATACTTCTGCACAGCTCTACCTTGTATCTACTGTATGTAATTTGCTGGCCTTCACTTCAGGGGTGTATGTTTATGCCTGTAATTTATTTACACTTCCTATTTGAGTCTATTATTTATTTACTGATCATCAAGCAATCACCACAGAGCCACTGCATGCCTCAAAAATCTTACTATATGGCTGAAAAGCACTGGCTTGATAATTAAATATTTCATTGGATTACTTAAATTTTACACATTTTTCTTATGATTTTGCTGAAAATCTTTGAGTCCTGATGTAGTGTGTCTGTGTCTGTGTCTGTGTCTGTGT